TTATTCACTTATTTGTTTGTATGAACAAAAGATTATTGTTTTGTGTTATGTGGACTGCCTTTGAGAATCTGAGGATATTTTGAACATACTGCTTGTGGTTTAATTTCTTCTGAAGCGGCAGCCCTGTTAATTCCATGTAGGAAACAAGTGAGCCTTTTCCAATGACTCTCTTACACTTGGTATTTTGTATGTAATATATATTTCCAGTATACCCTGTAAATGCGCACTGACGAAAGTGTGTGTCTGCATGCTACATAGTAGAGGAGATGTTGCAGTATCTATAGTTATGAAAATTAAATGCACGTGCGCTGCATCTATTTTTAACAGGCCTTTCTAACTGTAGAAGAACCCAGTTTACACTGTAGACTGATAGCACTGTAAAAATCATTACTCCAAAAAACAAAAACTTAGTGACGTGGGATCTCCTAAGGTGAGACTTCGTAAAAAATTAATCTCAGTGGCATTGTTGGGTGCTAATACAATAATAATTGAGCAAAAAAGTCTTGCTTTTTATATTTTCTCCCAAATTTAGGTTTACTAAAACTACTACTTAAGTTACTATAATATCTCGGCAGTGACCCAAGCCTAGCTCTTCATCAAAAGGTGACACACATTCTTGTCTTTCTCCTACCAAAACCCATTGATGGGTTGTCTTTAAATGCTAACGCTTTTATTTGCTCTTTTTAATTTTGTATTAAGAGGCTGTTGATCTGTAGCCACTATACCATGCCTGATAACTTGATTTCTTCCCTTGAAACCTCCAAATAAATGTCATCATTATTTACTGATATATTCATAATGGAAAATGTTCATTTGGAAGCAGTGTGGTGGGGGGGCGGTTCCTTGCTGTCCAATGTATTTTCCACATTTGTGAAGAGCCAAAACACTTCTTTTGGGGGGAGTTTCCCCTCCATATAACCACTCCTGTTGATAGTGTTTTTATTTTGTAGATCAAGTCAGTTTCTAAATAAAGTGCTTATGGATTTTTTGATGTGTACCTAGTTTTTCTATTGTGTGCTTTCCACTGAGGCTTTATTTTTTAAGCTAGCTCATGGTTCATTAGTAGGTATAACACCTGTGGTGGGGGTGTGGTTTGGGGTTTTCTTGTGGGTTTTTTTTACAATAAATATTTATGAAACTTAATTTCACATGGTTGGATATCTACAATGAATATTCACTGTGTCAGGACAAGATGACTTGGAACTGAAGTGGATGTGATCAGAAAAGGTAAATAAAGAAACGATAGAAATATAGGGCTAGCGTGGACCTTGGGAAAACCTCTAATCGCACCCCCCCCAGCTCAAGGCAGGATCTTCTCTGTCTTAACCTGCCCAGCTAAGCCTTTGTCTAACTTGTGCTTGGCAACTTCCAGTGATGGAGATGCCGCAGTTTCTCCAGGTGAATGGCTTGAACCCTTGCGTTAACTCTTCCTGTGGTTGTTCCCATTACCTGTGAAATTCCAACTCTTTCTTCCAGAGCTGTGCACACCCTTTGGGGTATACATTGTGATGCTCATGGAGAAACAGGTACATTTAACTATGCAAAAAACTATGCATTTAACTATGCAACTCAGAAGACCAGTGGTTTGTAAGAGCAGCAACAGCAAACGGATGCAAAAAATAAAATGCGTAGCGGGGGGAGAAAAAGATGTTAATTTTCTCGGAAGATCCTATGACCCCAGCTGACTTCCTGTCCTTTGGGTGGGGGGCTGGACTCGATCTTCTGAGGTCCCTTCCAGCCCAAATGTCTATGAAATCTATCATTCAAAACTGCAACTACTTTTTCAAGAGCCCATTTCCTCTGAGGAACTGTAAAAGCTTGCTGCTTTTAATGCAGAATGGCTTCCTGTATATAATTGTTGCCAAACCTTCCAACTTCACCAATATCCCTACCTTGCCTTGGAGAGCATCTGGGTGAACTGGTGTTTTTCATTGCAAAATAATGCACCAAGCCAAGGTACCCTAGTCACTAGCTATTGGAAGGATTGAATCCCATATGAGCACTGACCTTAATGAAATGTCTTTGGAGCATCTATGGGTTTAAATGGGGGTGGGGGTTGGAGCTTATTTTCATAGAGAGGATTTAGGTTGGGGGGAAAGCATTGCCTTTTTGTAAGCTGAATTGATTTGGAGAATATTGATATAGCTTTGGGACACTGAACAATTTTACCCTGAAAAGGCTATGAACCATTTGTGCTAAGTTACTCCTGGGTACCATGGGTCATCAGGGTGTACCCAACCCATGGTGCCTGGGGCTGTCTGACTCCAGCATGACTGGGATATTGGTGTAGAGCTTGTATAATTTTGACATAACATTTTGGCAAAACTTGAACCCAAGTCTTGTTTTATAAAGTGCATAGGTTAACTTTTAACTAGTTTCAAATTAGAATTTAAACTTCTTGTTCGTTTGGGAGAGTCCCGTTACGTCTAGTGGTTTATTAGCCATTCGTGGTGGTGTTAGGCAAGGGAGTTTTGCCACTAGAGGTCACACTTACTACCCTAGAATCAAGTCCACAGAGTAAAGGTGGAAACATTCCTCCACATTTCCCTCGTTTTTTCAAGCAAGTGCCAGTATAAATAGCAGATCGCTGGAGGGCTGGACGCACAAACCTGGCGCTGTGTGTCTCCTCTTTCTGGCAGAGAAGTGAGTGACTTTTACCTTCGACTACTTTAAAAGCCCAGACGATCAGATCCAACACAACAGCCGCACGCTGTTGTATAGTTGGTTCATTTGGCTAGTGCAATGGGAATTATTTGAGAAATGTTCTGCAACAGCTTCTCGATCCTCTGATTTGGAGGGGGAGTATTGCTAGAAAATCCTGAACCCTAGAAGGCTGAAGTAATGCCAAGAGCTTGGGGAGACAGGGAAAAAAACATAAATGCAAGGAAATACAGGCTGAGAAAGCTGAGCTCCTTTCATTCATCAATAGTGTAGGAACCTATGCCTGTATCCAGAGAAGCCTACCATTGCAGGAATCTGTAGTGATTGGAGGGCTCTCCTTCATTTCTAGCTTCCCTGTGTTTTGAAGACTTAAATTGGGCTCTTGCTAATCACTTTTTGTGTCATTTTAATTATTTTACAGTTTAAAGATGGGAAAGATGACTGACTTGATGGGAACTTTGGATGGATCCTACAGACAGAAGCCTGGAAAGAGATGCCTTGTTCAGAGTTTCTGGAATTGCCATATTCCTTAATGAACTTCAGTGCTTCCCACTCAAGTTTTGGCTTTGCATATAATCATCTCTGAAAAAGTTTCAGAATTATTTAACCCTTTAAGCTTCTTCGTGTTGAAAGTTAAGACCTTCAGTCTGAAGACCTGAGTTGCCTTTCTTCCCTGAATTCATTGTCACATAACACACGAGTGCTAGGATGTGCATTTCCCTGCTTGGGTGGGGGGGAGAGAGCATCACTCTTTTGAACTACTACTCATTTGAAAGGGTTTCATTGGCTTGTGTTTATGCTATGTTTCGCTGCCTTTAACTTACTTAAATTTGCATTTTTCAAATTGGTGGATGAGACATCCAAGTATCAAAGCATTTTATTTGGCCACCTTGATCAATGAGTAATTAGCTGAGGAGCTATTGATTAGGCTGTCAAGTCCATTTTCCTTCTGTTTAAGTGTATATTGCCTGCGATACTGTTCTTTGCAATGCTGTTTCTCTGCATGTAGTTTATTGCCACGACTGATCAAACTCTTAAAACCACCAGAAGCCTTAGTTGAATATTACTGACTTAGTTGCTTGTAGCATGGAGCGGCTACTGTCTTTCTGCCCTGAACAGCTTACTGTCTGAGTAGACCAGACAGAAAAAAAGGCTCAGGGAAAAGGGATCCAAGTTGGAGTGGGGGGACCAAGATGGAGATTAAGGGATTTACTCCAAGATTGTACTAAAAATAATGGAGCCCGGGTCTCTTGCGACCCAGTCCAGACCTGCACCCATATGTTCTCCCATCCCAACAAAGCAGACTTCATGAATGTCTACCAGGGACTTCCCTTCCCTCACATTTTTAAACCAGCCAAGAAATGTGCCAAAGGGGAAGGCGCGGAGTTAATTCATTATTCCAGCTGAGAGTCAAGGCAAGCCTAAGTTGAAAGCAATTGTGGGTGTCAAATATAAGCTCTGAAGGGGGGAGCAGTTCACTCTCGCATGATGTATGTTAGGGCCTTGTTTTAATTGAAAACACATGGTGATGAAGTCTAGGAGGAGGGGACTCAGGGCTGGGAAACTTGTCAGCTCCCTGCAGTTCTGAACCGGGGAGCCTGCACGCCAGCAAACACCATGCTGGTCAAGTCTGCAGCTCTCCCAGGCTTTCTGCTTTTTCTCCTCTTGCCCGGCATCTCCTGCTCCTGTCCTAGCCGCTGCTTGTGCTTTCGGACGACGGTAAGATGCATGCATCTGATGCTGGAAAACATCCCCGATGTCCCACCGCAGACCAACGTCCTGTGAGTAGCCGATGCATTTTGTTGCCTTTGTAACCTGATCGGACTTTGGGGTGAAGAAAGAAAAGCCAGAGGCAAAGGCAGGGGCTCTGCCCTGTGCTTTTCCTACAGGATTGTGCTTGCACAGCAAAAGCCTACCTTTTAGACACTGTCTTATTTAACCTCTTGCTAATTAACAGGGTGATTAGAAGAAACAGAAAACCCATAGGGTTGCAAGGGGTGACCTTTGATTATCCAAAGCTAATATTAAACGGGGCTGATGTAAAGGAAATCTATATGTTTCCACCAAGGGAAAGCATGGGAGTGTGGAGAGAGAAGCTATCCAGGTCTGTCTGTAAGAAGTGTGTGCTCTTTTGCTTCGAAACACCACTCCCTTCTCCTTTTTTCTTTCCAATCCCCACAGGAAGGCTTCTTTAGGGAGAAACTGTGGTAAAAAAATAAAAGCTTATGAATCCCTATAAATCCACTAGGTTGCCGGCACTTTTGGGGCTGGTGGCAGTTACAAACGCTTGGTTTTGATCTATTGCAGTCAAAGGTCTGAAAAATTGAAGGGAGGTGCATACAGCATGTCGATACCATTTTGGGGCTTGTATACAGTTCATCGCATGTAAAACAGTAAACTGCCTAGGACTTCTAAGAAATGCCATTTCTAAAATTGGAGGCGTGTGTAGCTGTCCAGAAGAACTTTATCTGCATAGCGCAGAGATGATCTTAGTTTGGAGAGTCGGACAGTGTCAAAAGAGTAGGAAGCTACCAAAGGTTCATTATACACACAGCTGGGCTGTGCTAGGCTGTTGCTGACTGCAAAACTTGTTCGACATGAACTAGCCAAGGAGTTGCTCTTGTGGACCAAAGTCTGAGCTCATCTGGGGTGTCTCTTTAGCTTTTTCCACCCAGTTTCCCACCATAGTCATTGCTGGCAGAAACAAGAACATAGTGTAGATGGTAGGCTAGCAACCCCTGACCTTTTAGTTTTTTTTTTTTTTTTAGCTGTTGTATCATCTAGATGTGCTCTGGGAGGAGTTAGACACCAGTGGTTCAAGTGCTGGCTGTGTGTGTATTAATGTTGTTACTGTTGCTACTGTCCTGGTGGGGAAATTTGTATTTTCAGTGGCACAGAGGACCATTATAGTGGCCTTTATGGGCCTCTGATTAAATGGGCATTATAAGCTATAAGGTCAGTCTGCAGTGGAGATTCATCCAAAGAACACTGTCTGCCTATGCAGATCTTCATCGTATTGATCTGCTTTACAGTCATTTCCACCATGTCTATTCAAGCTGTCATCAAATAGGTTTTTTTTTGTGTCACACCTTAAAATGTTAATCCATTTAAGTTGTCCTTATTCTCTCTCTCTACCCTCAGGGGAACAGTCTTTGCCTTGTGTTGTCTATGGGTTTCTTGGCTGAGAGTTCTTGTATCGCTTACTGGCGTGTGGCAACAGAGCAATGGATTATAACGAGGGAAGACTAACTCTGGTCTTTCTTTCATAGCAAGGCAGCATTTTACCTCTACATCCAACTTAAATAGTTGCACTTCTTTCTATGAACTTCTTAGCTATAGACAGAGGGATATTTATGGGAGCAATTACTTTTTCTCTGTCGTGGAAACTTTTTCCATACAAAGATTCTGTAATGGTCTCAGATAAGCTCCTATGGGAAACAGTTTATATGTTCAGAGACCTGCAGGCTGGGATCCTGCTCTGTGACTGCACCTCCCAGGTGCTCTGATTAATGCAGACAATTCAAACCTCCCTGTGCTCACATTTTGTAAAGGGGATTGAGCTCTCTAGGATTTACCATGAGTAACCAGCCAGATTTTCAGGACTTTCAGGCAGGCTGTTACCAGGACTGCATGAAGAAAGAAAGGGCTAGACTTGGGTACCTTCCAGTATCCAGTTCTCCTGTAAGTTGGTTGTGAATGCATCCGCATATTGTCCAGGCCCCAAAGGTTGGAATACCTGGATAATTTTGCTTGATGTAGCAGGCCCAGGCAACAAACAAAAGCAGTGGCTTTTAAATGCCAAGTCCTGAATGTGACTATACAGGCATGGACTGTAGATGGTGAATCAAAAAACAGTCCCCACATGGTGTGGGGGGAGACATACTTCATCGGGGAAAGTGCTTCAGACTCGTCAAAGGAAACGCATGAATCACTTCATTTTAATATGTCCTGTAAAATTAAAAGCAGAAGCTCATTTTGGTCATACCTAAAGATTTAAGCTGACCTGCTCCAGGTGAAATATTTTCTGTTCCTGGATCACTGGAAAGGTATGGGGTGCCTTAAACAATACTGTTTAAGATGAACATGCCTGATGGGCAGCTTTTAACTGAATGTGTAAAAAAACAAACAAACAAAAAAAACCTTAATTGTTCATGTGCCGTTTAAGAGATGCTATGGAGCGAAGAGCACAACTTGCATACCCCACATGCCCCGATTCCAGGCACCCCTCCGTCTTGCCCGATCAGCAGGTGAACGTGAACGTTGTTTTAAGTAGAATGCAAAGCAAATGGTGGAGTTGTGATCTTTTGCATATCCACGTCTTGGTAAGAGCAGAACAAACCTTGGTACGAACCAGGCACCTCCGTGCTGAGCTGCAACCCTGTTGTCTGCACAGCTTGAACAGTCAGGATCAGCTGCAGGTCCCTTGGCTTGCACAAGCCTTGCAGGGCCTGTGTGTCTCACATCTGTCTTCCTCTCTTGCATCCAGTGTAGGCAATGGGGATTGTAAACGTAGGCAATGGGGATTGTACACAACATGCAGTGCGCTGCTAGCTGATGGCCCCTTTGTGTCTGTAGCCAGTTGGCATAATTTACCACAGCCTTTAAACTTAGAGCCAGTCCTAGGATGGATGAGCTGTTATTGGATCCCTTCTGGTTCCCATCTCTTCCCTTCCCTCCTGCAACCTCCATCCCAGCTGGGTCTAGCTAAAGATCTGGACCAGCATCTGATTTTAGCAATGGGATATCTCTGCTAATGAAGCCTGTTCATTTTATCCTGAGCCAGGATGGCGGTAATGGTTGTATGCATACAGGTAAGTCAGCTCTAAAAATGAGCGCTGTATCGCCGCAATTGTATTTTGGCTGCTGTCTCTTCGACTGGAGCATGGCTATCCAGATGTGATGTGCTGCTTACCCCTGGGACCCGGGCAGTGTTTGTAGCCAAGAGCCCAAGGAAAGGCAACAGCTGTGAAGCATACATTCGCTGAAATTTTTCAATAGGTCGTTAACCTTTTAAGCCATTTCTGGCATTTAAAGAAATACACTCTGAAATGTGGGTCTGGGGAGAAGGGGCCGGTGAGAAGAACTTCCATGTGCCTGGCAGCTAATGAATCCCAATCCTGTTAGATACATGGATTATTCTCCTTTGCATTGTGCACAGCACACCATAGAGAAGTAGTTCTCACTAAACTTAGCCCAGGGCACAAACCCCTGTGAGCTGAACTCACTGCTAGCCCCAAGCAAAGGTGACTCCATCTTTCCATCTCTCTTCACAGACTGTGTTGCTAACTCTGCATTTTTTTTGTGCATGGGTTTGCAGTTGGATAACCTTTGGCTTTCCTCCACAGTTGTTCAGTGTGCTGTGTCAGGTTGCCACTCAGCAGCTTGCTTCCTCCCCAGAGGTGGCTGCATTTTCAGTGGCAAAGCTGTATGCATGGCTTTGATCCTCTTTGGGGTCCTTGCAGACAAAATGTTTGACAGAAAATGAAATACCATCGCTATCAGAAATGGCACGGAGCAAGTTCGCGGGGTTTTCTCGGGGGCAGGGGTGGGGGTTCAGGAATGGCTTCAGATTTTTTCTCCAAGTATTGTTTTGTACGGTGGATGGGAGGGAGGAATGAGGAGAACTGCTTAGGACTGTCTGCGTCTGTCTAACAGCCTGTAAACATGTATCCCCGCACTCTGGACATGCCAGGTGTGATCTTGTCCTGTTAGGCTATTTAATTAATCCTCATTAAAGCCTTAAGTGTTGGCCAGGCTCTTCTCTCTGCACTGCAGAGGGAAGTCTGTTTATTGGAAGGAAATGGGAAAGATGATTCAATACTCTCCTTTTTCCCCAGTTTTTGGGAGAATTCCTGTCTTTTTTTTGAATGAGCTGGAAAATCAGGGGCCTGAACTTGTGACGATGGGTTGCATAGTGTCCCATGGGACTAGTTCCAGGATGGATATTTGTTTCTCCTGCTTACCCAGTCCCCTCCCCAGCCCCATGGCTTCACCAGGATCATTTGCTATCCTAAACCACAGGATTGCTTTGCTGCCTGCCTTGAAACGGCTGTTGTGTGTCCTCCAAGAGGTGACAGTGCTACAGCAGTGGGTGGGGGAGGTATCCCTACCATCTTTCTCTAAGCAAGTGTCTGTGTGTGCGCATGTATGTACACGTGTGCACACTTAGTCAGTTGTGGCCTCAGAAAAGCTGATGCCCAAGCTGCTGGAGAAGCAATATGAAAGCACGCAGCAGGCATGCATCTTAGGCTGGAAAGTGCCATGTGCCTGTTGGTTCCCCTGATGCGGATGAATTTATCTTAATGCCTAGATCCCTCTGGAGCAATAAAACGATGCTCCAGGATCAGTGCTGATGTCTGTGTTTCAGGAGGAGGGAAGAGCCGTCTTTCTTCGGCTCGGACAGTGTCCTGAGGCAGGAAAGATGCAGCGTATTGAGGAAGCCCTGCTGCCCTCCCACGAAGAGGCTTATCTGCTTTGATCAGGATCCAACCCTAATCTCCTAGTTGCAAAAGAGGACCAATTGCTGCTGTTAACACTTAATAGTTTGCATTAGCAAGGATTGCCTGGGTCAGCAGTTTGCTGCATAATCTGCTAATAGTAAGACCAAATATTTATTCCTGAGGCCACTTTTTCACCTCCCCCCAACCCCAACCATTTGGCTAGCACTGAAGGGGTTCTTGTCCCAAAGGGGTGGTCACTAGAGGTGTTAGCCTAAGACTGGACTATGCAGTAGCCTACCTCAGGGACTCGGGTTGCCTGCATGAGAAAAGGAGCCATGCAC